TCTCTAATTTATAAATTATTTCAATGTTGTTTAAATGATTACCTTATAACCCCATGTCCAGTTTGGTGCATGTAGGATATTGATGTATTGTTTATCCATTTTGCTGTAAATTATCTTAATTGATGTGTCAATCAAAACATATCTTGGATATGCTGGGCTCTTCTGATAAATGCACCTATGCCTCGTAACCTTTGAGTGCATTTGGTTGTGTAGTGTAGACAAACTACATGTACGTAATATAACTTACTCTTAGCTTACTTATAATTCTTGGTATAATTTAATCGTAGCAAAATTAATTAATGGAACCCAATAACAGCTCCTGTAGTCCACAATCTCAGTCGAGAAAAAGAAGAAATCGCATTGAAATTGAATAATAAAATTATTATTAGAAGCCTATGTAAGTATTCATGATCAGCAAAAAAAATATCATAATTACCATTCATGCGAGAGTGATTTTGCTTATTGCAAATCCTTCCAGCAGGAGGGGACTCCATACAAAAGTGAAGATGGCTAAATGTATCTTTGGGGACAAGTTAGAAAACAAAACTTTCCAACTTTTCACATTTGTATACTATTTTGGTATTTTTGCGAGATTTCATTTGGTAGAGATTTAGGGACTGAGTATTGTAACCACTGCATTTGAATCAGTCCCCACAACAAAAACATGAGTAAACTTCTGTTGTGTGGAAGAATATAATGATTAATAACAATGTCTTGTCTTTCTGAATAAGGTAGGAAAGAACAAGAAATGCCACAAAAAAGCACAGAAGACAGTTCTGTTATGTGATCAAGATTTTTGGTGGCTTCCCAGAAATCCTTGAAATCATGGCTCTACATTTCATAATCACACCATCTTACACCTTGATCTGCTGATGTAATCCTAGTTCCAGCTGAAACTATTAAATCGTTCGCAATTTACCTCACATACATGTTCGATGATTTTCATTAGTAACAACATTCCAAAAACATAACTGAGGAGCTCCGCTTTTAGGCTTGGCTAAATCTATATATTATCCTACATCGGTGAGCAAGTCATCTCAACGACTGATGAAATTAATTGGCGGTTTCAGTTGAGTGTCTTGACTAGTTTTACATGTACCTAACGCGGGAAAGTTTCGGCTGAATATGAACTTTTTGCTCTCTTTCATAGAAGAGGAAATAAGGAAGCTGCTGGGGAAAAGCAATATGTTTTCATTCTTTATTTGAACCCTGGCAAACACACAATAGTCCTAATAGCAGACAACATTTCTTGAATCGAGCTAGGGGTGATTCCAGAAGATACGCAGTGACAGTAGCGTTCTTTGAAGAACGTATGCGTCTGACATGTTGTGGTCTACCATAAGGAAAAGCACTCAACGTTCGATTGTAATCCCGTATAACATGTATCTTTCACTCGACATGTAGTCCATACGGACGATAACTAATCTGCGCATGTGTTTCGAGCAAATTGCTTTTGTTCTTAAGGGAGTAGCACTACAAGGTTAGCAAGAGATTTGCGAAAACATATACAGTTTTGTCATATCAAACAAGCAACGCAAGTATGACACGTTTTGCGTAGTGCACACGGGTACCTACTCCACCCAGGCCTCCCTCCCGCAAGGATAATTGATTAATTGAAATTAATTAATTAAACAAACATTTAAGTTTACACCTTATTGTATTAGTGCATATTGCATTAGCGAACAGCAGCCCCCTAAACCATCCTAACAGTGCACTCTGCACTGAAAAGGACGATTTCAATAATATTGGATTAATCTAATTATTTAGCGGTAAACAAAACCAGAGTGTTCTCGAAAATTGAGTTAGTCAGTCGGTGAATTGTCATTTTGACCATGTGCCATGTCTCGGAATTCCAAAAGATTTTAGATTTTAACTATACTAGGATAGGTCTTTCAATATATGTAAAGTTAAGTTTGGGCAAATGATTAGGCACTCGTCAAAAAATTATTCAAAATCGTTCACAAAAGACACAAAATCACGCCAGCAGCTTCCGAGTACGTGACCAAAAGTATTATCATCGTATCGGCATATTACTTCAGTTCGAAACGTCAGCATTACCAACTAGTATAAATGACATACACATAATAATAGCATGTTCCCCTATCTCGGTTTGTAATATCCTGAATCTTGCAAACTGATTCTTTTCCTGCATACAATTTTCAGCGGCGTTCTTGTCAGCCGACTTTGAAGAAAACAGTTACTGCCACGTCCCATGTATGTATCATCTATCTGTGTCGTCTGATTAAGCCAGTAAAGTAGCAACTACTGCTAAAGCGTTATTCCACGTGCGACTTTCGGGGTTTCCATTTTGAAGACGTTTGAAAGTCCTCCATTTTGACTGAAGATGTGTTATCCCAGACCCATGCGTTACAACAAATTTTACACGGGGGTGTGGGTCGGGATTTCAGAGCTTTTAACAGAGTTACTTTTCTTTATTTGAATTTTAAGCCATAACGACCTGGTTCGTGTGTAGCATTTTATCACTTTACCTAAGAGAGGAGGCCCTGAATTGGAACTAACATTAAGATATTGGAAAAATTCTAACGCTTCTTCTTTCGGAAATAATTCCCACTCTACCCTTACCCTGTGTGCAAAGACTGTTGCCGAAGATGGCGCTTTATTTGTTACTGCTAATTACTGGGGATTTCTACCTGATAACAGGTTGAATGATTGGACCGAACAACAAAACGGAAAACGTTGGAACATTTGTATAGAAACCTGGTAATATTGAGCGATTTGGGGAATTCAAAATCACCAGAAGAATGTGTACAGGTTATGCAAACCTAATGGAACACCGTTGAAATGACAGGATAGGAATGTTGTTTGATAGTCAAGACATGATAACCCAGCTAAGGTAAACATACATATGTTGGTTTATTAAGTCGTGCTGATATTCCTGTGATATTTCGAATTCAAGTGATTTAATGACAAAACAATGGTTTGTAACGGTAGTACTTTTGGTCGCGCATTCGACTGCTGGCGTGATTTTAATTTTTTTGTGTATGATGTGAATAATGTTTTGACGAGTGCCTATTCATTTGCCCAAACTAAACTTTACATATATTGAAAGACCTATCCTAGTATAGTTAGAATCTAAAATCTTCTGAAATTCCGAGACATGGCACGTGGTCAAAATGACAATTGTTTTCACCGACTGACGAACTCATCGTTGGACAACACTTTGGTTTTGTTTACTGCTAAATAGTTAGATAAATCCAATATTCTTGGAACTGGGCTTTTTTTAGACGAGGAATAGTTCTGCATTCAGTTGGTTGTATTACAACTTTTCTGTGCTCAATAGTTGCGAAATGCGAATCGAATGAAAGTGGTCAATTTTCAGCCCAGTTAGAACCCGTCAGATTGATGTCCAGACGTGAAACAGATAATGTCCTTTTTCTCGGAAATACCAAGACATTTGAAGAAAAAAACTACATAGCGTTTTCACTTTTACTAAGGCCTACGTATATGCAACAGTAGGGCAAATTCTATTTTTCAAGCCTTACCGAACTATTTTTGATTCTTGTGTACATTGCTCTAAAGTAGTTTGTTGTAAGAATTAGTTTTTCTGTAAGTAGTTTATTATAAGTAATATATGTACAGTGATTAGTTTTCTCTAGGTGTTACATCTATACATTAATTAGTTTATTATATGTAATGTACTGTAAGTAGTTTATTGTAATTAACGTACTGTAGGTAAGTTTATTGCAAGTATTGTATCATAAGTAGTTTATTGTAATTATGTATTGTAACTGAACTTTTTCAAATTAAGAAAAAAAAAAGAAAATTACAACAAAAAAAAAGAAACGCAAACATTATTCAATATTCAAACCTTCTTAATCGAGTTGATTTGTATTAGCAACTATTATTTTAAATCGAGTTGATTTTAGGCCGGATCTCATTGAGGTTGTAATTCACCAAGGAAAACCGTGAGACCCGAGATGAGTCCTGAAATCGTGAGTCTCACGACCAAATCGTGATAGTTGGAAGGTCTGTGCATGGATAAAGTGCAACTCGCTTAATAACATAACAAACAGCGAAAACCACACTCACATTGATTTACACAACAGTCAAATCAAAGAAACTTAAAACAACAGGTTTACAATATAAGGCAATTTTATAGTTTTGCTTGCGCAATCTTACTTTCTAGGCTAATAATTACTTAGGATAACACAAAGTAGCCTTGATCCAATAATTACACCGTATTCCAAAGTAATTCGAGAACGTTTGTCTCTAACTGCGGGTAGTACCAAACACCAAACAACCAGAACGTTCAGTATTCCAAAACTAAATTCCTGATGGCAAACAAGGCTTATTTTCTTCACTCTCAACATAGTTATACATTAGCCAGCAGGCAGTCACCTACATTATAGAACTCAAAAACCAGTTGATACTGTGGAATTCTCACCGCTTTTAGAAAAGATCCTTAAGGAGTTTGGCCTTAAGGAAAAAGAAAAAAAATGTACTATTTTTATAACAAAATATCTACTGAAAAAAACATATTTTTAATAACTAACGAATTGAGGTTAAATGCTCCCCTACAAAACCAAAACAGTAAAAGGCTGCACCTTACTTTGCCGTATTTTAAACTTATTTCACACGTCATATCGCTTTCATAATATATCCCAGAGAATTAAAATAGCTCATGGGATAACTGTTTTAAAACTGAGTAAAACCATGTACAGCAATAAATTGTCGAAAGATAGCAAATTAACACTTTGTCTTCTCGCATCCCAGACTGCTTTTTTACATACTGTTACTTTCTTTCATCAAAAAGACGAAATGCCGCTTGCAAAGCTCAATAAGAGGTACATTAAGGCTACGCTTGTGTCATTGTAACTGGAAAAACAATCTTCACAGGGTTGAAAATGGGGAACCTGGACTCAATTTGGACTGACCCCCCCCCCCNCTGTGCGTTTCTATGAACGTTGTTAAGGCTTTCGCTCGTTAAGGACTATGGGTAAATGTACCAGTTGCCATCTTTTTTCCTACGGAGGATTGGCGCGGGAGAGGTAGCGAGTACATGTTTGGTGATTGATATATCGGGCACTTTATATAACTGGCACATACAAATTGCCATATTTGTCTTGGCTTTGGATATCATTGTCCACGCATCTCCTGCAAAGAAATGTATGTCTTGTAATCGATACGTGCACTGCGGACGAGCGCAAGTTATACTTCGTAAAAAACACGTACAAGACATGCAATTTCTCAGTATTCTTGCATCAGTGAACAAAATTACGCTTGCGATTTCCTAACTATTAGCCGGATTTACGTTTAAAGGCGTCTAGGCCGGAACCAAGAGGCACTTACAACTCGCATGTTGACCCCCTCCCCCTCTCCCGCCCAAAAACCGTTTTTGAGAAAGACTGTTGGTCACTGGATTACAAATTTTAGTTGTGCGGATTCACACTTCAAATAAGTTGGTCTGTTTTTATGCGTCTCGAATTATGGAGGAATTATACGTCTAAGACGGCAGTATAATGCGTCTGTTTACAAAATTGTTTAGTTCGTCAGACCTTTAATGCGTCTTATTTTCCGTATTTACCTAGACGCACAACACTTTTTTTTCTTCCTAAGCCACTGCGACAACATTTTCTGACACTTTCCTCGATGAAACCTCCGTTTGGACTAGCGATCAATCGCAAAAAAGAAAACCTGGATCGGTTATAGATAGATAGACAGATAACAGAATAAATGAAAAGGATTTTGATTTCTTTTGAATGAAAAAGAAATCTACGCTGGCACCAGGCACAGCAAAGCGGTTCCTAAGACAATAACATTTTCTCCACCCTTTCTGTCAATGTTTCACAGCACAGAAACGTCATCAAAATACATTTTGGTAATGCTCTGACACTTCGTTTCTGTTTCTACCAGCAGTATATTGCCACGCGATTTCGTTTTTGCAAACTTTGTGCTGATATCTTAAACATTCTGGAGCTCGACGGCCAGTTACAAATGACGCACTATGCAATAAACCTAACTCTTTGTAGAACTGTTGTGTTGAACTAACAACTATTAGGACGCTAGGCAAATTTATAATTTAAATATTCCTTTAGTTTTAAAATGCTGACATATATCGGTAATATGCAAGCAAATAAACCAAGCTAACTTGTGACATCAGCTAGTCATCAGAGATGGTGGCAATCACGTGTTCAAGCTTGGAAGCCAACGACGACAGCTCAGACTCTTCCAAAGCTTCTTGCAGCTACAAAAGAACAAACATCTACAGTTTAATGTCTCCACAGCAGGAATTACGTGGTACTGTCCAAAATATTCTCAAGCAAATTAGCAAATGTGCTCCTCCCCACACGAATACAAGAGCATGTCCTAGAGTACCTCAAACATTTTATGTTAACTATAACAAACCTACATGTAAATACAAGATAGCTCGTGTGCTATGTTTACCTGATCTTGATATCTCCTGACATAATCATACAACTCCTGGAGCGCGTGGTCACCATTAAACTCGTGGCCATGTTCCTGAGCAAATACAATCATTACATCAATTAGTATCAAACTGAACCCACTTCATGTTTTGACTGCCTGAACAGGTTTACTGCAGACAAATGAATCATGATAAACTTACCAAAGACTTGTAACGTTAATGAAATTGACATGTAGTAAACTTACCACTGACAAATCAGCAAAGAACTTTGATAATTCTTGTGGTGTGGGTGCAGGTGATGCTTGTATCTCAGCATAAAACCTGTAAAATATAAATCAAAAGCTTGCTATACGTACGGTGGTGAAGCTTGCGAGTCTTGGCGATCTCAATAACTATGCCAGTGGGTTTTCCCCTGGTAAGGCGACCTACTAGGCTTACCCATCCTGAATTGATCATGGGCAAGACTGCCCCTGGTCCTCCAGGGTGGAGGATTGTCGTGGAGCTAATGACCCCCACCTGCTTAAAATATCCCAATAGACGATTTGCATGATGGCGTCATTTGACTACAACTACCAGAATCCTTACTCTTTCTGTTTGTTATGCTAATTAGGGCACCCTACTGGGAATTTAAAATTTAAATAATAAAGAAAAAACGAAAGGAATTCTGGTAGTTGCAGTCAAATGACGCCAACGTGCAAATCTGCTATTACGGGAACGGAAAACTACCTCGAAGTGAGCTACACTGGGAGTACCTCCGCCACCTGCGTATATGGCGCTTGCTATGGATCGTGGGTTAACGCCGAAGAAAGTGGCCAACAAACTGTACCGCTGTTACCGGATTTGTAAGTGTTCTTTTGCGGTAAAATATGGCACTCGAAAATCTGGCCGTATATCAACAGAAAATCTCTTTGAAGGGTCGAATCGAGATGGCAGCTGAGGAGAAGTATTAGCAGCAATGTGCGAACTTATAGGCATACGCATCATTAAATCAACTGGTCTGTCCAGTAGAGTTTACAATCCTTGTGCGCGAAAAATAAGAAATCTGTTTAGACCCTTTACCGACATAGAAAACGTGACGAAATGGGATTCGGAGTTTTCTACAAGCAGTTCTCCTGTTCGAAGTAAGCGTCAGCTGCCAACCAGTGTCGACACCGGAGAGGAGTCCTTTGAAGAGAAAAGTGTCACGAGTAAACGAAGTGTCGAAGAAACCTTCATCACGGAAGTCTCTCCTCACGAAAATTCCAGAGCCTTGAGAGGAAGGATCAAAAATTCATCAACCGAGTGCTTTTTCTTCTAACCCTATAGCATCTGAATGTTGCCCTTCACGAACTTCCTTGATCGTCATTGCAGTTGCAGTTTATAAAACTTTTACCGTATCCAGTTAGCTTAACAGCAAAAACATCCCTTCCTTCTAAAAGACAATTCGTAGCTTTTTCCTGTTTGTGTTTTAGATCGACCAAATTATTTGCTTCGATGAGAAGCTCCCAGGACAAATCCCACACTTGGATTCTCGGATGCTACGTTTCTGTTTGATAATCGCCACTTGTTTTGATCATATTAATGGGACCTGTTATTTTTCATCAATCAGAATGAACGCACTTCATTTTTTTCTCAAGCATCTGAGCGGGCCGGAATCCTAAATCCTCGAATTTGATTGGCTAATCATACGCACGTGACTGGTCCAGCTTTTTACGATACGGCCCACGGGCCGGATTTTTTTCCCGCTGCCTAAATTTCGCTCCTGAAAGTTAGCGGTAATCGTCAATCTTTTGCCTTTTTTACACATCCATCGACGAGTAGTCAACGCAAGTTTATCTCTGTTCACTTTAAAATGGCAAGGAAAGTCACTGTAAGTAAATTCAATTGAGTGTTTTGAAGTTGTGAGAGTTTGTTTAA